AGCTTTCTTGGATACTACGCAGATGACACTGCGATAGCGATTAAATCTATCCGTCCGACGCACGCTATTCAAAAACTGCAGAACTTTATACCTAACATTGAAGACTGGTGCATCAAATGGCGCATCGCAATAAATGCACAAAAGTCACAATTAATGATTATCAGGAGAAGGCAAAGAATAACTATTAATGCTAATCTCAGTCTTTTCAACGAGACGATTCCACTTGTAAAGAAAACAACTTATTTAGGGGTTGTCATCAATCATAAGTTCACCTGGTCGGACTAAGGCTCCTCTAAACCAGGCTGAATCACCAACTTTTCTCTCTTGGCGAGGGAGGGAACGCGCTACCAATTTTGGCGCGTTTATCGCACACGCTGGCTGAATGTCTGCTGTTTTTTTTTTAAAGATTTATTTTATAGACGCGCGGCATTCAGCGCACATAAACTTTTCGGATAATTAATTAATTCTCGAATAGTATATAGACGTTTTCACTTAAATAAAAATTTCGCGTATATTTTGTAAACATATTCAAAATAACTTATTCTTTAGATGTTTCAGTTTCGTTAGCAGACTAAAATAAATAAGATATGAATAAAAACTTTCAATAGTGTCAAATGGGGAAATAGTTAAAGCGTAGAGTGTGCAAATAAATTTATCTTAATGACATTTTAACAAAAATTTCCATAAAAACACTGTAAATTCATACTAAAAAAATAACTTAAGAATATGTTGTCATTTTAGTCTGAGGTATATGGAAATAATTGTGCAAGACTCTGAAGAAACACTTTCTTTTAAATGTGTGAAATATTTCATAACATATATGGAAGAAGAAAGTACAGCATTCTGTGTTTTGGATGATTTTCACCAAATGTAATATAAATACGAACTAGAAACCGTAATAAAAAGTCCTTCCTCTCCAATCAGATCACCTTTGTGTTGCATTGTATTTGTAATACTTCTAAAAATCCAATTTTTACCTAAATTAAAAAACAGTTATTCCATAAAAGATAATAAATTTGAACGTATATAGAATGAATTTTGTAATTTGAGTTATGTTACAAAATAATTCATAGTTTATATATTTTATACTAATAATTTAGATAAAACCTGTCCAATTTAAGAATGTGTGTTAACCACATTCTTAAATTGTAAAAGGACGACTTAACCACATGTAATTCATTTCAAAGCATAAAAGAAAGCTTATTTTTTATTTTACACAGCAACAGCATTTTCATGCAGTCAAGTTTTTTTAATTGTTAGTTATTATACATAATACTTAATTTTTAACACATTCTTATTAGAAAGCATAACTAAGAAACTTCTTTTTAAAGCCCCACAGTAATTGCAAAGAATGTCGTTAAATTTACAAAAGTATTGAAGATATATTGAACAGCATTATAACAAGAAACTACTGTACAAAATATGTAAATTTAACATAACTTCTTTTTTAGTATTTGCATAGTTTCCTCCAAATGAACCTTAATGGGAAGTTATCTTGCAAAAATTTAAAAGTATTAAAATGGCCTCTATTTAAGATGTAACTGCATTTATAATTATTTTTTAATTGTGAATAGATTATATTATTGCAATTAGATTATGCACTTACAACATAATTGCATAAAGTAATGAAATTAAGAGTTCACAGATACAATGTAATATAATTACAAAGCAATTATCTAAATTGTAATTATAATCACTTATTTAATACCACAATATTATTACAATCACAATGTAATTTAAATTGGGTACTATATTTGTATACCCTCCACTCAAAAGGAGGTACTGATAAGCCTGGAAGTTATTATCAACAAAAAGCCTGTTCAGGACAGTTTGATGACAATTTCCACCGGGCGAAAAGTACATTCTTAAGCCCAGGCAAATCATGACAATAAAAATCATTTAGTCTCATGATTCACTATATTTCAAACCCTAAATTTGAATTCTGCACCAAATTATTTACCTATATTTTAATATACTTTATGAATTATTAGAAGCGATATGGCAAATATCTTCTAAAAATAACTGTAAAATATTTGTATCCATTAATTGATTCAGATACACACTTTTATTATTTAAGTATATCAAAATAACAGTTTCATGTTCCTGAAATACAAAAGTTATGAAAAAGTTAAGTTAAAGTAATATTCTTAGAAGCATATGATATTAGTCACCAGCTGCAAAAACAGTTAATTTTTTGCCCTAAATACAAGTTTATTACACAGTAGTCATACGTGTAACTTAATAACATGGTATATAAAAAATTAATGATAATAAGTTTATCAGAAATGAATTAATTCTGCAAATAAACTTTCTGCATTTGAAAATTTTCTACACCTGAGGGGAGGGAGAGATCTAGTAAAATTAGATTTATTATAACTTCAGTTGGACCAAATACCTTCTCTCTCTCTATATATATGCATCACTAAAGAAATAAATAAAATTATCATGCTTAAAAAACAGATGTACCATACCAGTTTTTTTCCCCTTGTTACCCTTTACATTGAGAAATAACAAACAGTACAACGCTGAAAAATACTATCTTTGAAATTTTATTTAAATGAAGAAACACACACCATCTTTTTATTTAATATTACACTTCAAATTTATTTAGCATTACACTTCAAAAACAGATACACATACCAATTTATTTTCACTAGCCTTTATACTAATAACATGCCATATAAAAATGAAAAGAATTATCCTTGAAATTTAGATAAAATGAAGTAACACAATGGAAAAATTTATGCACACGGACATCTTTTTTCTATTGCATGTTGTCTGACATGATCCACAAGTGCCTAAAAATGTACCCAAAGGAAACACATTTCAATATTAACAAAAAATTGTTTACAGATTAAAATTCATTCATTTCATACCAGTATTATAAAGATCATGCATGAAACAAATCTGCTTTCCCATACTTTTAAGTAAAACTTGAACTGAAATTTTATACTGGAAAATATGCTATATTTCTATATATTAGAAACAAGAAAATAATACCATAATAATATACTCATATAGCCTAGCAGAAAGTAACATATATAACATCAAACACAGAAATTTATATACTCGTAGCCTAGGAAAAAGTAATACATATTACATAAAACACATAAATTATTTAATATAAAACATACATACCTTCTAAAATTATTTTACTTTTTGTTTCTTATTGGCCGATGCTGATGAATATGAAACGTTATGGGCTCTTTTGTTGATAAGATGCTGTGTAAGGCCTTTGCATCTAGTAATAAAAAAATTATCAATAATTACTTTCTTAAGATTACAGCATTCTGGCATGGCCACATGCGTACATTTATCAATTATTCTTTCAACTAATTCTTTTGTGATGGCTGATTGTAAACGAAGGAGTACATCTTTACATTTTTGAAATTCTCGTTCAGCTTCCCTACATATTTGATACATTCCTGAAGAGATGACCTTCAGTCCACCTTTATTGCTATGTTTTGTAAGAATTGTGCGATGCTCGGGTATGTCAGGTTCCAGCATGTCCTCTGAAATGGTCATAGCTGTTTTACAATTTTCACATATGCTTTTTTTTTTCAACAACTTATTATATATGGCTCCTGCGATGTAATGTATATCATTTTCTTCCACAGCTGGGGGCAAGCGACGTTTCACTGCCACTGCAGAAGAGGTAGATGGCACTACAGAATTGGAGATAGGATGCAAGACCTCCTTTCTGATAGCAACCTCTAATTCAGAAGCATCAAAGAGGCTGTGGTCACTTTCAGAACAATAATTTGGATTATTGATATCTGAAATGAACTGTGATAGGCACACTAATTTCAGTGCTCTCTTGGCTTGCAAAGCAGTAGGCTTTGCACCCAACTTTCGTCTAATCTGTGAAAAGGCATTTTCCAGCGCATCTTGTGTCAACCTGCCTGGTAAGAAAAATGTAAACCCCTCGGAAAATAATTCTTTTGAGAGTTTCACAACACTCAATGTGCTCATAATAATGCCAGTTTGAAATGGCTTCCATGCTTTCCCAAACTGAACAGTTTCAGTCACATGAATGAATTTCAATAAAATATTAAATTTCTCATCTTGATTTTTGATAGTGATGCCTTTTTTTGGATGCCTTGCAGTCATAATTGTAAACCATTCTGCTACAAGTCTCAGCCACCATGCAGAAGTTAATGCTTCTTTTGCAACTTGGTGTAAAATAACTGCTTTTTCAATAGCAGCAGCTGTTTTTACAGAAAACAATTGCACAGCAGATGCCACATTCATCGAGGAAAAGTGTGTTGGGAAGAGATGAACTCTGTTCAAGTGATGTAGAGATCTCAGGGCAGCATCTGATTCTATCTCACTTGACCAGAGTCGTTTCACATACACTGAAGATACTATCCTCGATGGCAAGGCATGCTGGCTGGCGAAATTCCTCTGGTAATATTATAATACTTGAAAGAAATGCATTTCTCATATTTTTAATGAGATGTGGTACATCTGCAATACTGTGAATGAAAACATCAGGTCCTCCAATGTTGTAATTTGTCTTCCTATCTGTCCTAGAGACAGACACATCCAATGACGACCACATTGCTCTGTTATTGCTTCCCATATCTGAAACAGAGGCTCTTACAGTTAAACCTATTTCTGTAGCTGCTACTACAGTTCTATGAATTAGATCTTTCATGTCAGAACCTGATGTTGAAGGCCCTGTTAATTCATTGGCAACAATCTGTTTCCATGATGTTTTAAGGCCTCTAAGCATTACAATAGTGTAATGCTTAGCGTTTTCCTAACGTAACATTTCCAATGAATGACTTAGACGATGTATCAAAATCTTGATATGAAGCTATTTCCATTTCGTCAACTAAAAGGCAGCAGTTCCTATCAAGAGCATCCAATGAATGAACTTTTGTCTTGAGGAAAAAAAAACAAATTTTCTAAAATGCCGAAATTTAATTTTTATGTCCCTAATCCTCCTGTTCAAGGTACTGTACGATGGTGCTGGATATCCAGTACTTCTGAGGTAATTATATCCATGTTTGCCTCAAAGCAAATCGCATCTTCAGTCCTTTTATAATGGACTTTTCTGACCAGTTCCTTTTTGACTGCACAGCAAGGGTTCCTACTTGCTCATCGGACAAAAATGATGTCAATTTTGCATCTTTTTCTTGAAGCTGTTGCTCAAGGAATTCTATTTTTTTTAACAACTCTTCATTTGAAGCAGGTAGAGTTTCCTAAATTCAAAAAGAAATAGTAAACATGTTATGCTGCTGTGATTATTTTTTTAAACAATGGTTGGACTGAATTAATATATTTGTAATAACAATGATTTTTTCAACAATTTTTTTGGAGAATATTAAATAATTTACCACTTCAGTATTTGGCTTAGGACATCTTACTTCTCTTATCCTCTTGTCAGTTACAGATGGTGGTGGATTTGGAATGCTAAAGAGTGTTGGTACTGCAGTTTTTCTTAGTTTTTTAACTATCTTTGCATAGTGACTCAAATTGAGATTCCTCAAAATGATCCTGTAAATACATAAAGTAATAAAAAAAAGTATACAAAATAAATAAAAGTACAAAAAACAAAAACCACACGAAAGAAATGTGAGAAAAGTGTTTCACACAGTGAGGTTGTGCCAAAGGCAGCAAGCATGAACTGTAAGTAAGTATAGGCAATAAATAAATATGCAGGTAATTAAATTAGGCCCAGTATTATAAAAAACTGAAACAATAAACAAACCATGTCTAACATATCAGCAGCAGCATCTTGTAAGCTTGGGCAGAATTTAATTATCCAATATTTATTTTTTGCCTATAATTTAAAGTGTTCTTTAGAACATTATCCAAAAATTAAATGAAGTAGTGTTTTGCTATAAAATTAAAAACAACTAAAATAAAACTTTATATTTCTTGCTATAGTGCTCTTACAATAGATAAGAAAATATGAGTTCACTTCACCCAACTTTTAAGATACTAGGCCGATAAATACATTTATAATTAGAGCAGACTATGATTCTTGTTATAATTGTAGTAATGTTTATTGCTTTAATTGAAATATTTAATTTTTAATTCTCTAATCATTCAAAACATAGGCCTAATTTCGAAGCACAGTGCCAACATGCATTTTAAAAAGCATCAAGGCCAGTTTAAACGACAATTTTTTAAATTACATCCCCACAGACATATCCAATTAAAGTTATTAAAAACTCTAGAACGTAGTTCAGTAGCTTTCTGAATTTGTAGGCAATTTCTTATTTAGAGATGACAACACAAAATAACGCTTCAGAAAATATTATTTATCATGTATAAAAAATCTGCTTTGTAACACATATCAGTAATAACTGTTTATCAATGTCATGAGGATTTAATTTGACGAGATCACATTCTTTAGAAGTATCAAATTCATGAAAGGATTTTGGCTTGGCCTTTGAAATTCATCATTATAGGCAGATTTATTTGATTGTTATGCATGCATTAAACACTACACATGCATTAAAAACACTACAATTATTTTTGAAAAATACACATGCAGTTTCACAAGTTTTCTGTGCTTATTTGAATGTTCTGCATTCATTTCTAAATCTTTACTCCATTGCCAAATTGTATAATACTGTGATTATAAATATATGGTACTTGCAATTATTGAAGTCAGATTATATATATTTTGTCTCATACTATTCAATTTATTCTATTGACTTCAGATGTCAATGTCAAAATTCTGGAAGTTATTTTAACCAAGAAACATTAGTGGGCACCGTGCATAAAAAACTCATCTAACTTTTTAACAATAGTGATTATAAAATAAAGAAAAAAATTATATATCATTCCAACGATATTGCAACTATAGTATAATGTTACATATATCTTTAGCAAACATTCAGATTTTATCTTGACTTTCCAAATTATGATTTGTTTTTTAATAAATTTCAATATGCTAATGATTTTCATGTTACATTAGTATAAATTTCCACAATTAGCACAGGAAAACAAAATTTGCGCTTTATATTAGAAGAGAAATTTCTTTTCCACATTCAAAACATCCACATTGGCGATGTTTGGCGACGGGTACATTAACCCTAGACTAATTTAATTATAGCTATTATTACAGAAATTAGCAGATACTTAGGTTATTGTACACAAGAATTTCACTTTACTTACACATTATAAACATCAGAGAAGATATAAACTCTAAATCAAGGCGTAATTAACATTATACTTACTAAGCAAAATTTCAGCGCTTGGACCAGGTTTCCAATTGTCTCTTCGGCAATTATTTACCCATATTTTTCTTCTTTCTTCATTTTTAGGAAATTTTACCAATGTATGACCTTTCCGTGAATGATTTGAACAATTAATAGCTGCACATCCGCCCATTTTACACAAAAAAAAAAAAAAAAAAAAAAAAAAAAAAAAAAAAATTGTTGCACCGTAACTACACAGCCGCCATTTAATCTCCCACTTGGGATAGCGAATGCCTGATGATTCAGCCTGGTATATAGGAGCCTTAGGTCGGACCATATTGACAAGGTGAGACGAAAGGCTTTGTATATTATTCACCAATTATATCCACTGCTACGTTCAAGCTCGAAACTCAATCTGGTCAAAAAGAGGCACATCTACACTGCTGTTATCAGTGTGGTGCTCTGTTACGCCTCACCGGCATGGGTCACGGCCTCCAACTCAGAGATTGCAAAATTACGGATCACCTAAAATAAGTACCTACGCCGGATTACAAACGCCCACTACTTTGTTAGCAACGATAACTTGCTTAAAGATTTAAAAATTGAGTATATGGATGACTACCTGCAGCTTACAAACGGAAAATTCTTTGCTAAAACACGTGAATGCATACATCTAAGCTATTTAAATGTTTCTAATTATGAAATTCTGCAAGAAGACCACGATATTCGCCCCCTCGCGGCCTACCTCACCGGAGATTCTAATTTCCCCACCTAAATACTGCACTGTATATTGTTTTGATAGTGTATATACTTCAACTTCATTACTAGCATTTTATTTTATTTTGTTTCATTTACTCGGCATTATATTTTGTGTATTCTCTCTACTTTCACATGTTATTCTTCATGCAGTATTAGGGTCACACCTCGCACTATTTTGCTTCTCCATTTTACGACTCCATTTACCTCACTGGCCTTGTTACTGTCGGCCACACTTTTCCACCCCCTTAGTCCTCCCTTGGGATACCACTGTCATGCATTCACGTTATGTGCCATATAGACAAAATTCCTGTTATTGAGCCGGACACGGCTGTGTTATATATATTTACACCTGTGTTATCAGACCAATATTTCCCTATGCATCTCCCACTTCTGAGTATGCAAGTGCAAATGATGTTCATGAATTTCAAACTGTTTAGGGAAAAAATTGCAAATAATTACGGGAATAATTAATATTGTTGCGTGCGTACGGGTTCGTTATGAAATGAATCCACAAGTCCGAGGAAAAATGAACAAAAATTTATTATTATCACAACAAAAATGCTTAAATTTTCTCAAATTATCATGCAGTATTACAATATCTCACAGTAGTTATCTTTTAACTACTCAAATGTACAATAGAACGTAATTCAAAACAGCTAAAGAACGCTAATCCGCGAATTCGCTACAATCAACAAGAGCAGTTTTCTAAACAACAACAAACTAAGCAACTCCTACAAAATGAGATGTTTTCCTCCTTTTATAAGCTTTTAAAATCACGCGCTAGAATTTTCCAGTACTTTCTCGAAATCAAAAAAAGAGATATTTATTTATTTAATGCACGCGCTCTTGTATTTTCAATTTTCCTGCTTAGCTTTCTTTTAATATTCGTCCCGCGCTGACTGCGCGAGAAATAAAACCATTTAATTTATAATTGAACTAACATTAGCTTTTTAAATACCAAATTCGTAACACTGCCTCCTTCCCAAGGACTGCACGTCCCGGGCAGTACAATCCCTGGACAGGAAGCTAAACTTACAACTGTGGCATAAATGCAACTGAGGCATAAACATTACATTACAATATCAAACAATATAAACAATAAATGCAATAACTAACTTAAACAAATCAAATGCTATCAAATACTAAATACAAAACAAATACTAAATACAAATCAAATACTAAATGCAAATCAAATACTAAATACAAATCAAATACTAAATGCAAATCAAATACTAAATACAAATCAAATCAAATACACATTTATAAACAAAAAGGACCATGGTCTTATACTATTTACAATTATTTACATTACGTACTATGGCCATAGTAATGAGCTAACCTGTCGTAATATCAGGTTTAGACTTTAGGTTTAGAGTTCGAAGACTTACGAATCCGAACCACGACGTAATTCGTGTTCAGCACTGTATATGGACCATCCGAAGGTGACTGTAATTCAGGCCTGACTCCTTTTCGTCGAATCGGGTTCCACAACCACACCTTGTCTCCTTTGTTGGATCTCTGTCTAGTAACTCTTGTGTCGCATCTGGTCTTCATTTTCTCCGTCGCCAAGTTGACTCGCTTTCGTGCAGAACGGTGCATCCCCTCAAACCGGGCCTGGGCATCTTGGATGTGTTCCTCAGGCGATGAAGGCGCATCAGTAGGGCGACTAAACAGGCGGTCACAAGGCAGACGAAGGTCTCGACCGAAGAGCTTCTGAGATGCAGAATAGCTGGTAGTCTTGAGTTTCTTTTCGACCCTGGTATGATTTCGGCAGCTTCCCGAGCTCGATCTTTCGGACAAGGCGTCGACATTTCCAGGCGAGGATCCCTTTTGAGGATGGATAGTCATGCCATCAGATGCTGAAAGCAGCTTATTGTTTTTGAAATCTAGGGAAAAATTGTATTTCCTTAAAAAGTCCAATCCGAGTATGCATGGATCTGTAATATCCGCCACATATGCCGTGTGATGGTAGGCGGCACTTCCAAACGTGATGTTTACGTTTAACTTCCCAGTTATGTCGATCTTGTCACCAGACGCAGTCTGAAGGGTAACACAGGATGGCGTCCAAATAAGTTTATCTTTAAACTGTTCAGCTAAATCTTTCCTAATGATGGTAACATTAGCTCCTGTGTCAATGATCATATTGCAAGGAACTCCATCGATATTCCCATTGATGGACAGTCCGTTATTGTTGCCACTCACTATAGAGATCTTAAGCGCTTTAAAACAGGGTTTTTCATTATCTGGCAACCTCCGTTCCTTGATATGGTCATTAATTTGTTTCCTGCGTCGTTGCTCAGAAATTGTCTCAATTTTCGTACCCTGGGGTGTTCTGCAATTCTTTCGTACGTGGCCTTCAGCTCCACAGTTCCAGCACTTTGGTTTCTTGTCAGTCCTTTTCCTTCCCGTCGCATTTAATTGTCTGTTTAAATCGTATGCCTTATTTTCCGTGCTCTGGGGAGTTCTGCAGTTCCTTCGTAGGTGGCCTTCAACACCGCAATTCCAGCACTTTAGGATCGGTTTTGTTTCACCACTATTCCGTCTTAAAGCATTCACTGGTCTTGTTCAACTCATCCGTTTTCATTATCCGTGCCCTGGGGTGTTCTGCAATGCCGTCGTAGGTGACCTTCAGAACCACATCTCCAACATCTTACAGCCACTTTGTTCTCACTGCTACTCCGTATCAAAGCATCGACTTGTCTGGATAAATCATCTAAACGAGCCATCAGTTGATCCACTGGCTCATGGACTCGCACAGCTCTAACTGGGTAGCGATCTCTATTAGTTGCTTGCTGGGCTGCCTCGAACTTCATGGCGTACGATAGAGCGCTTTTTATGTCCTTTACATCTGCCATTCGAAGAGCTTTCTGTATTTCAGGATCCCGGATGCCGTCGATGAAATATTGCAGCGACAGGATTTCTCTTGTTTCTGTCGGGCACTCCGAAAAGGCGAGGTGGGACAGCCTTTCAACATCCGTGGCTAGCTCCTGAAGTGTTTCGGTAGGCTTCTGTTGACGAGATTTTAATTGGAGCCTGCTGTAGTCTTTTAAACACTTCTCTCCAAAGCGCAGCTCCAAGGCGCCGGACAGAGCTTCGAAATCTAACCTTTTGTTTTCGGGAAGAGTCTGAAGGATATCCGCTGCGTCGGCTCTTAAAGAAGCGGCGAGATGACAGACCTTAGTTTGGGAATCCCATCCATTCGCATCCGCCACTATAGAAAATTGTATTTTATACACTTGCCAGGAGGTCTTCCCATCATAAGTGGATAACTTCAGAGAGGGACGAGCAGGCATGGGTAAAAATTTAAAACCATCACAATTGTTCCCTGCCGTCGCTACGAATTTCTTTAAAATATCCACTTCTTTGGCTACCGCAGAAACCCGGTCATCAATTTGTTGTTCGATTTGTTTCTGAACGGAACAAACTCTTTCTTCTATTTCTTCTTTAACAGAAGAAACATTTTCCTCAATTTGTCCCACTTTATTCTCAACCACATCTATTCTGCCTTCCATAGCATCGAATTTGGTTTCTATTATGCAGGCAATTTCTCTTTTCATTTCGCATTGACTTTCTTCAATCTTGACTTGAACATCTTTTATTTCTTCTTTAACAGATTCCTTAACAACTTTTATTTCGTCTTTAAAAGTTAATTGACCAGTTTGAATGGCCTTCATTTCTTCCTTAACGGATTCTTGGCTCAATTTCATTTGTTCCTGAGCCGTTTTCATTTCTTCCTTAAGGGATTCCTGGCCCAATTTCATTTCTTCCTGTCCCGCTTCAATCTTTTCCTGTACGGATTTTTGACCAGCATCCATTTTCTCCTTAATTTCTTCTTTAAAAGATGATTGGCCAGCTTCTATCTTTTCTTGGAACGCAGCAAAAGCAGTAATGAGCTGTCTCAATTGTTCTTCCATCCCTCTTGTTATTGGCATTCAAATCCCACCGCTGCCACCAAAAATTGTTGCGTACGTACGGGTTCGTTATGAAATGAATGCACAAGTCCGAGGAAAAATGAACAAAAATTTATTATTATCACAACAAAAACGCTTAAATTTTCTCAAATTATCGTGCAGTATTACAATATCTCACAGTAGTTATCTTTTAACTACTCAAATATCCAATAGAACGTAATTCAAAACAGCTAAAGAACGCTAATCCGCGAATTCGCTACAATCAACAAGAACAGTTTTCTAAACAACAACAAAGTAAGCAACTCCTACAAACTGAGATGTTTTCCTCCTTTTATAAGCTTTTAAAATCACGCGCTAGAATTTTCTAGTACTTTCTCGAAATCAAAAAAAGAGATATTTATTTATTTAATGCACGCGCTCTTGTATTTTCAATTTTCCTGCTTAGCTTTCTTTTAATATTCGTCTCGCGCAGCGCGAGAAATAAAACCATTTAATTTATAATTGAACTAACATTAGCTTTTTAATTACCAAATTCGTAACAATATTGTTGAAAATAAAGATGGTTTATATCGATCTTGTGAAGACTGCCATCGCCTCAGTGCGCAGGCAATAATTGATTGGTTACCCAATCCTTCGAACTGATAATTTTCATCATATTTTATTTTAAAAGGTGCAAATATCTTCTCTAAAACTGATTCATTTAAAGCTTTTTTTTTTTTTTTTCTTTTTCAAAATCTAATTGAAGTAGAGGACAAATGCATAGAAACAATATGGTATCCACTCGATCTTCGTCATCCATATCACATTAAGTATTCTCACACACAACAGTCTCTTCCATATCACATTAAGTATTATTTCAGAACTACTAGATACGCGTACTACTCCTCGACAGCCGGTCTCTGTTTTTCCTCTGCGATTCTATAGAAACTTCTCCTTAATATTACAATATTTATCAGCAGCAACAAATGCGCAAGGCGCGCTCATTATCGCTCTCATCGCAGAGTTTACTCCCGTTTCTTTACTAGCAATTCAAAGGTTAGGAAATATTTGGTTTTGGTTAGGGTCTCAAAGGAAATATTTCAGAGAATCCGTGCGGTTGAGGTTTTTTCTTTAATAACAATATTAGGTTAATTAGAAGAAATCAAAATGCGATCCAACATATGACAATGTAATAATGCATATACATAAAAATGAAATATTAATAAATATGTGACAAAGAAAATTTCAAAATTTTTTAAAATTGTATTGTAAGAAACAAGTTTTTTTTTTTTTTTTT